TTGTTTATTGTATAGGAATCATACCACAATAAAGGTGTTAAAAATTAAAAAATCAATAACCCCCCCAAAAAAACCCTCAGTGAACTGTACATTAAAATCTGTGCACTCCATTATCTAAATTATACCTCTATTTAAAATGAGAAAGGAAATAAACCAAAGTAAGGGAGTACTGAATAAGCACATTAGAGGCTTGAGAGGGAAGACTTGACATAGGGCTTTTATGAAAAAGGAAGGGAGGAAGAGGGAGAGAGAGAGAAGGAAAGGAAGGAAGAAGGAAAGGAAGGAAGGATGAAAAAAAGAAAGAAAGAAAGAAAGAAAGAAAGAAAGAAAGAAAGAAAGAAAGAAAGAAAGAAAGAAAGAAAGAAAGAAAGAAAGAAAGAAAGAAAGAGAGAGAAAGAAATATTGGAGACTCCAGAGACGGTAGCAAGAAGAAAACAATGCCCTTGTACTCCCCAATGACACAGAGAAGCAGAGGGTGAGCTTTTTATTTACCGAAGAGAGCACTATTCTGGCGAGTTTCCTGTAGATCCCCGCCCTTCTTAGCCATCGTTAGTGGCAGTGGCTAATTAATTGTGAGTTGTGAGCCCCCTTGTCTTGGCAGAAATAATGAGCTGTTTCTCTCCACTGGATGAGATTCCCGGGATCACTCTATCACCTCACTCTGCTTCCCTTTCTACATCCAAGACCACTGAAAGAGAAATTAATTTCCTGGACTGAGGAGGACTGTTTACTATCCAGAAGCTCCACAGTAAAGAGCTAGCTCTGGCCTCACATGTTCAGCAAAGTAATGGTGGGATGTGGTTATTATATGACCTCTTCAGACAGCCCACCTGGGTTCAAATTTCAATACAGGTGCTTACTAGCTACACTTTCCAGAACAAGTGATTCATCTTCTGTTCTCATTTCTTTGTCTGAAAAGGAAGATAATAATTGCACCTATCTCTTGAAATTGTTATAAGAACTATATACTGTGAAGTGCTTTGAAAAGGGGCTGGGGAAGTAAGCACTAGCAATCATTACCCTTCTCTGAAATCTAAACTCTAATCAATTTCAAGGGTATAATATTTCTCACAGCTTGCTTTTCTTTCTGTGTGATGATCAAGTGGCAGCTCCAACCAGCCCAAAGGCTCCGTATCTGTATCATGGGAATGCTCTCGCAGGAAGGCGATGAGGAGATTCTGACTTGACAGTAGGTAAGTTATACATTAATCCTTCTCCTACAGCCTGTCAGTTTCCATATATCTTCACTAGTGTTTGGAATCAAACAGGGTCTAGAATCCTGGCCCTGACACAAGTTACTTGAACACATTACTTAACCTCTCTGAGACTGTTTCTTCTATAAAACAAGGATAATATTAACAATTTTTTTCGTGGTTTTTCTGAGATCCATATATTTGGGAATTTTTTTAACATAGTGTCTGGTACTTAGGAAACACTCAGGAGATGGTTACAACTAAAATAATATGAGATTGTCATTACTGGATTGTGGAGCAGAATTTGCATCTCATAACCCTGTAGCTCTTAGTAAATGACTGGCTCTTCGGTGACCAATGAAGGAATAAATGCTTCATGAATATAGAACTAATGGGAACTGGGAAGAAGCGCTTGCCTTTCTCAGTGTAAAAGAAAAGAAGAACCTAGAGAAAGAGGGTGAGGAATAGACATGTTCAGAGAGACAGACAACAAAAAAGAAGAAAGAGTCAAAGGAAGGTATAACCTGAAGAGATTCAGAGATAACGTAGAGTGAGACAATACATTGCCAAGAGAATAAGAATGTGAGAAATCCTACACTTGATGGATGAATAAAACTTGGTGGTTAATTGTTGAGATACAAAAGATATGACAACTACCAAGTTCAAAAGGAATGATGGAAAAAAAATACAAAACCAAAAAAACAAAAGGAATGATGAATTTAAAATAACCAGAATAACAAGGTCCTGCTGTATAGCACAGGGAACTATATTCAATATCTTGTAATAGCCTATAATGAAAAAGAGTATGAAAAGAAATATATATACGTATAACTGAATCACTATACTGTACACCATAAATTAACACAAAATTGTAAACCAACTACACTTCAATTGAAAAAATTTTAAATAAAAAAAGAAACTACTAAACAGATACCATAAAAAAAATAAGATAAAACAAAATAAAATAACCAGAATAGTGTTTTCTTCTTTGAGAGTAAAGGAGATGTGAGCAGGGAGGGACACACATAAAGCTCTAAAATATGGGTATCATTTGTTCTGTTCCTAAATTGGGGTTGAGGGGAGCAGGTGTACCACGTGTTTATTTTATTATTCTGTAAAATCCATGACATATTTTATATACTCTTCATTATTCAAATAATTCACAGTTCTTTTAAGGGAAATAAATCTTATCCTCAAGAGGAAAGAAATACACAGGAAGGAATATAGAAGACCAAAAAGGAGTCCTATTAAAAAGGGAATGAGATACAGTTTTTAACACAAAATGGAGACTTTATGATGAAGAGACGTTTATGCTATCCCATAAACTCCCAGGTCCTTTCCGCCAACAAGGCTACCATCTTGCTTGCCACCACATCACCTAAATGGCTTCCTAAGAAAGCCATTTCCTTTCTGGTTTTCTCAGAAAACCAGTTCCTTTCTCTTAAGTGCCTGAGTGGCTGCCACACTTCACACCCATCTTTGAGCTCACCGCGTGTCCCCACACAAACAGTCTGCAGGGGATTTCCTTGACTGACCCCTCCCAGATTCCTCCTTCCTTCTCTCACACACCTATTATTTTTGCTTTATTTGCTTCCAGTTTTGGTGGGGGAAGGGTCTTGACAGTTTTCCATACCTTCTCCAGCACTGAACTTGTGAATGAGGCCACCACTTCCTCCATCCTCACAGCTTCTCCTGGTGGGGACTGAATCCATCACCCTATGCTTTAAAGTTTGTTTGTTCATTGGCTAAGAAAAGGCTTCTATAGAGTCCATATTTCTACACTGGATATTTTATGGGAAGAATTACTATAAAGAACAATTATTAGCAAATTATGAGTATAAACTATTGATTAATAATAATATTTTATCAATTTTGGATTTCATGTATTTAGTAACTGTTCTGTGTTTACATAAAGAATTTCCTTTTGCTTAGAAAATACATGCTAAAATACAAAGGAGTGAAGGAGCATATATAATCCAGTAGCTCAGAATAAATATAAAAAGAAAAGATAGAACAATAAAAGGTGGCAAATATTAACAATTTATTGATAAAGATAAAGAATACCCAAAAGTTTTTTTGGACAGAAATTTTCTGTTAAGTATGATATTTGTATATAAAAAGTTATTTAAATCTCAAATAGTGAATAGAATTAAGGAAGGAGTAAACAAATTCTTGTTTAATTCTTGAAAGGGCAAAGGCTTTTTTAAATCTTTCTTATTTCTAAGGTCAATACATACAGACTTTGCAGTTATAAAACAAGACAACTGGCAGCCTTTTTAGTCTTACTTTGCCATATTGCTCATAAGGTTAAGTTGAAGTTAGTGCTTTTTATTTGTAAAGAATACTCTTGTGCTTAGTTTAAATAAATTACATTATTTTTAATGGGACAGGATCATCTAGTTAGTATCTCTGTGGTGGGGTGACTTAACACAGGAGAAACTCCTTAATTCATACATTCTGACTCTGGTGGCTCTCCTACAAATGAGGGTAAAGTAGAGAAAACACAATTGATCCTAGAAAATTTATGCTCCAGAGTAGAAAACTACCCTGCATAAATACTCTTGAAAGAGAAATTCAATCAAAAGGATTCCTTTGCTAATTCTTTCTGGATACATAAGGGAATACTGAGAACTAGCACAGTATTCAGAACAAAACAGGTCCTCAACAACTGATTGTTGAATTAATGGAAACTAATTAATTAATCCATATTTCACATCAGTTTTCTTTACCTTCACTCAGTAAGTCTGGATACCAGTGTGAGGCTCCGTCTGTTTCTGCACATTTATGGTTTCCTGAC